CAGATCAATGTGCCAAAGATCTTGCGGCCCGCCCGCGCGCGCCCATTTTTTTGGGCACGCCCACCTTCTTCCCCTTTGCCTCCAGGCAACCACCACAAGGCTGCAGAACAACGGTCAGGCGGAGGCCGTGCTGCTTCGAAAGCTCACGCAATTAAAACTCATTCGAACGGGCGCACGAAACGTGGAGGAGGTTGATGTCAACAATGGTGGAGGGTTTCTCCCCCGGAAAAGGTCGCTTGCCCGGGGCCATGACGGGGACGGCGAAAGTAACATCATCGAAGACATTGGAAATTCCAGACTCAAACATTAAGTCTAAAAGCTCGTAGGGGTCTCTGATACCTCTCTTTGTTCCGAGGTAAACAGTCCACTCGTAAACTCCCTGCTCTTTGTACGGAATGTACCCACGGTCATCATCATCATTACGCTCCTGAAAAGTGGAGACGTCGGGCGAGGGTGGCCCGGGAACAGCTACCAACTCCATACCATGCGGCACTTGAGGAGCGGAAGGAAAAACCACACTCCTGTCAGCGGCGGGGGGGCATAATTTGCCGGAGGAGCGACGCTGCTCGCAGCGGGCGGAAAACCGGGCACAGTAGAGGGCACTACGCTTTTTGCAGCGGGCGGGAAACCATAGACCGTGGAAGGTACTACGCCGGCAGAAGCGGGCGGAATATTCGACAAGGGAGGTTGAACAACACTCCTGGGAGCGGTGTAAGGTACAGACATCACCGGAGGCACTACGCTGCTTTCAGCGGGCGGGACACCTGACACTGCGGAAGGAACGTATGCTACACCCGGAGGAGGGGAAACACCGGGTTTCTGGCATCACTCTACCATCATTCGCATGCAACCGTACACCAGCAGCGCGGGGAGGGGGTACCGGGGGAAAAGGCATCACAGGCACAGCGGTGGGCGTTTCATCGATGGGCGGCAAGCGGGTGGCCAAAAGCGACGAACCCCTCTCGCCACGGGGAAAGATCAATTGGCCATGGAAAAGATGGGTGCCTACGTCGTCCAAGGCAATACGTTGCAATCCCAGTGCTTGGTGAAGGGAGAAAAGATTGAACCCCATTCCTTCTACATGACCTACTCGGGTAAGCTTCACGCAAAGTCTCTACCTTCAAGATGGAACCTCACGTTTGAACATCCGATTCCACGTACTCGCATCGTCCTGCCATCACCGATTTGCACTCTGTCCCTAGCGTATGATCACATCATACATGTTCGTGGGGTCTCCGGTGGTGTGGTTAGTTGCACCGGAGTCTGCAAGCTATTCCTCAACTCCTACACGCTCCTCCCTCACAATCGGCATAGAGATCATCAAGGCATACCCTCACCCCCCACGAACCCACTCGAAATCTCACTCTGGCACTCATTTGACATGACCCTTACAACAAACGCATGCAAAGTCCCCCCTGCCGACGAAGGTGGTCCGGTCGAAGGCGCGGGAGAGGCGGAAGGGGCGGGGACTGGCTGCTGCTGTTGGAAGGGGGGGGATAGGTGCTCCGGCTGCTGCTGTTGGGGTGGGTATTCGTACACACCGCTCGCGTGCGTCACCGGTTGTTGATAAACACCGGTCACGTGCGTCACCGCATGCCCCCCCGTAGATGGTGCTGTCGTCGCCGCCGTGGTCGCTCCTGCTGCTCCTGGCGCTACCCGCGGGTGACCCTCTCCGCCGTACTGCTGCGCGGTGTTGGCCTGCCCGTGCGAGTGGGCCCACGGCGGCCGCTGGTTGTAGCCACCGGCCGGCGGCCAGGGCGGCGGGGGCCTGGGCGGCACGTTGGCGGCGGGCATGTCAGCTGGCCTTTCGACATCAACCACGCGAAGGGCAGAACAGGTGGTTGTGGCCGAGTTCACCGCAGTTTTCGCACCGCTTGCGAGGGTCATTCGGGTGAATGGGAGGTTCATTTCCCTGCGGACGGTACATGAGGGGGGGATAGGCGTTGTGGTAATATAGTAGCCCTGCTGAGGTACAGGGTAGGCGGGCAGGTTGCTGCCCGGCGGTCCCTGGTAAAAAGGGCCCCTGCCCCTCCCACCGGAAGCGGCGCCACGCCCCCCAAATCTTCCTCCTGCCGGCTGCTACTGATGACTTCCTCCTCCAGAAAAGCCCCGGCCCACATGCTGGGGCCCGTGCCTTCCGCCGTAGCTCGCACCTTGGCCGCCCGAGGGACCTCCCCAACCCCCCTGCAAGCGATATACCTCGTTGCTGTGGGACGAGGAGTTGTGAAGGTCACAATATTTTATCTCAGGCGGGTACGGCGGCGGGAATACCTGTTGCTGCTGCTTGAAGTACGGCTGATGCTGCTGCTGTGGCTGCTGCGGCTGTTGCTGCTGTTGCCGCGCTGCCGTCCTCCGTTGTCCTCTCGGCTTCCCCCTATCTCCCATGTTCCCGCCCCCGCCACCACGGTTGTCACCGCCAGTGACGAGGGCATACATACGCCCCCATGCTCTCCGACGCCCTCTTCCTAGCGGCCTCCGTCTCCGCCCAGGCAGTCTGAATCGCCTTGTCTACCAATGCCGTCTTGACCTCCGAATGCGCCAACAACACGCTCCTCTGCACATGGAAATCTGGTAGAAGGTTGCGTACATAGTGGACGTTAGCATGATGATCGGATTGCACCCAACCGTACGCTTCGAATTTCTGGCGAAGTACTGATGCTCTGGTGAGATAGCGCCGGGGCTCCTCCCCTACTTGCTGCTTCAACGAGTACCGCTGCCCCTGCAACTCCAACTTGGCCGTTTCTGCGTGCACTAGGTAAAAGTTGAGAAATGATCCCACGATTCAGTGGGGCAACCACTAGCTAGGATTGCAGGAACTATCGTGGGTACTTGTATCTTGGAGACTGTCAGCCGCCATGCTTTAACTGCCCGATCTACAGCTACCGTCCCATGCTCCACCTTCAACGCCGAGATATCCGCATCAGTCTTTCCTACAAGAATTAAGTTATTAGACTTTATTGCCCCACGGCAACGCTCCTGTTCCAACAAAGACCGAAATTGACTAGTAAAGACCATTACCGCCGTCCGCACATCGTCCTCGGGGCTAAACTTCCCGGTGAATGCAGGGATAGTGATACCTGCGCATATGCGTATTGTTTCCGTGGGGTTGGGATTTCCCTGTTCTCATCCTCCGGTTCAATGTTGACCCTCTGCAAGGCCCGCGCGAGGGTGTCGATGAGGCTGACGTCCGCCGGCGATCGGGGCTGGTGTTCGGGTTGCGGGCTTGACTCCGAGCCAGCCGGCCTCTCCAGCCGGGTGTCGCCTCGTTCGGAAGGCATGCCCTCGCTCTGTGCTGCGGGGTGCTCTGCTGCTGCTGCTTCTTCTACTTTTTTCTTGACCTGCTCCTTGTTAAGGGCGTCGATTACGCTTCGCTGCTCGTCCGAGAGCTGGAGCTCATCCAGCCGCTGCTCCATGATTTCCGTGTCACTGGTCTCTGGCCAAACCCTTTTGTAGCTAACCCCACCTCGGGATCCCGTATGATATCACGCTAGCGTGTTAGTATAATCCGAACTGGGGGTAGCTTGTCGCAAGACGTGTGTTGAATAGGGTGTTGGCAACTCGGCGGGCTCGCGCCGAGGAGAAAAACTTGTTGTGATTAGTTGCATCCACATCCGCACACACAAGCCCCGTTGAGGAGGCGACGCCGTATTCAACAGGGTAGCTTGTACATCCCTGGAAATCCATTCTACGTACCACACATGTCACCCGGTATTCCGCTCTACTTCATTCCATGGGAACACCCCGTACTAACCACTTGGCATCGCTACAACTATATCTATCACCCAACAGGTACCGAGCGATAGTATCTAGTCCAACCGTAGCTCTTCCAAGAGGGTAGCGCCAAGCGAGTTCGAGCTGTAGGCACGAACGTTCACTAGTCAGAAGCGCTTTGGAAGTCGTAACGAGCCGCTACCAACGAAAGTCCATACGCGGATCGGATCGGATCAATCCAGCCTACCTCCACCTGGACTTGGTCTTGACGTTGACCTTCGTCTTGGTACGATCGCCTTGAAGATGCGGATCTTCCGACCGTCAACGATTGAATCGTGAGTCCCGCTCGATCGCACGCTCGCACACTGGTCACGCATGTTCCGTTAAAAATGGTGGTAATCGCAGGTGACCATCGTGATGCCAGCCTTCTTCTTAGTCGTACATTTATCAAGACCCTAGAGGGTCTCGCCCCAGGCATCTGCTGTAGCTCCTTCCCCTATTGCTTCTTTTAGTCCTGTAGACGCACGACGAGTTCCTGGTGGTTTGACATAGACTACGACGCCGACGGCGGGAATACCGCCGACGCCGACGCGCTCGGTTACCTTGACCTCGTACAGTCGATCCAGGGCTTGTTTCGGAGGGTTCACACCGTCCAACACCAGCATTTCTTCGGGCGGCACGAAAGTGATCCCTACGGTTGGCGACGACGGGGCGTAGAACTCAAGAAAAAAGAAGTTGTGACAATAATAGAAGAAAGTAACACGAACACCCCAAGAGGTTCAAGTCACTAACTCCACGGAGTTGCAACGGGATCTGTTTGCGTTGCCCAGATGGAGGAAATGGAGCGATCAAGACCCAACAGCACTAGACATCTGATTTGGCAAGCGTGAGGGGAACCACGGGCGCGAGATTGCAGTGGAAAGAATGGTGGCAACGGACACTCATAATAACTCTGAGGGGCGCTTCAACAGACTATACGGGCGTGATAACC